AAATATTTTTCAGTGTTTTGCCTTTACCCCAATATTTAGTGGTTAAAAATGGTTTTGGCTCTAGTTCTGACCTTGAAAAGTGCCGCAATAGTCGGCTCCATATAAAGTGAAATACACTATAGAAGCGCGCATTTTGGAGCGCCAAAGCTTCGCTTAAAAGGCCTTTCCACAAGTTCTCGTTGTGTTTTTTCGGAAACTACCTACAAAACTACCCCAGAAAAAGTGATTTTTGAAAGAAAAAAGTGTCCTGTGTAACTTTATTAGTACCCGATCGTGTTTCTACTTTATAAAATCTATTCTAGGTTTGCTAAAAACACCATCTGAAACATCACCGAGAAAAGTGCTTTCTGAGAGTCAGCCAGATGCATCATCGGGAGACTGGGTAAGAACTGGCTTTTTAAAAATTTCGATTTTTAGAGAATCAAGTTTGCGGCATTGGCAGCGGCTGATGATGAATTTGTTTACGAGCCCTCTCGCCCAACTGGAAAAGAAGACAGAAAGGGTCCCTTGCGAGTCGGTGTCGAGAAATCCTCTGTCCTGATCGAGCTATGCAAGCCAAAGTTCAATTATCTTCCACTGAAAAACTCGAGTTAGTATTCGTATCGTATTCGATAAAAGTCATCGTTTCTTTTCATTACATTTTAAGCTTAGGAAAATTATTATTAAGGTGAAGCCAATGTTCAAGGTAGTATTGAAAAAGGGTCACGATCAATGAAATTTTTTTCAAATAATGTAAGTTTAAAACTTGAACCTGCTGAGTTTAACTTTTTTAGACAACACTTGCAACCAATGAAGAAACAATCGGTGAGACAACATCAACTGAATATGGAATCCATTACGTCCTTAATAAAGGTTCAACTTACACAATCTAATCAGTAAATGAGGTTCTTTTAGAAGGTTGTGCAACATGGATCAGTTTTTCCTCTGCACAAGAAAGAAAATGAGTTACTCTACTCTTCGCCTATTAGATTTGGTGAGTATCATTGTTTTTAAAGTTGCGAAATAAGTTTTAGGATCCAAAGTCGACCAGTTCTCCAATTAATGAAAATTTGTATGTGCAGAGTACTTTGTGAGAAACAATGTAAGGAAAACTTTGCTGATAAAATTTTTTTTTAATTTTAGAGCCGACTACATGGACCAACCTCAGAGATTTCTCCTATTCGTCATCTGGAAACAAGCCAACACAGTGCTGGCCTCGCAAAGAATCAAGGGAGATTGTGCAAGTTTCCAACAAATTTCTCATGTAGATTTATTGATGTCCTTTAGACTCAACATGGCTCTTATTTGCAAACTGAGCTATCTCTTCAATGCCCGCTTATTTGAGTAATTGACTTCCTCAAAACCAATCTCCAAATCAACAGTGATGGCCGAGGCTGATTTTATTTGTTTTTAAGCAAATTTTGTGTTAGGTAAAGCCGCGCTTGCCCACTTTTCACACACTTTGGCGTGGCTCCGCTGGAACGCCGATTGTTCAAGGCGCCGATCCTAAAGAACCCGCTAAACCACCTGTTCCTCCTACAGCTAACATAAAGAATTTGCGTTCTCGATGGGAGGTTAGTATTTTGTATTGAAAAGTCATTTTTGTTTAGTTTTCTTCCGCAACCGGTACACCCCTTCATCCAGATGCCACCGAAGACGAGCTTTTGAATACAGCGCGACACATGGCTGAGACGGCAATTCCAATCAAGAAAACTGTGAAAAAGGTTTTTTTTCGATAGGTTTTGTGTGGCACATGTTTGAATAACCCATTTAGTTGCCTTTCCAACACGGCCTCTTATCCATCTACGCGTAAGAGCATTGACGACATGCGGAGCACGCCGAATAAGATACCCTGCAATAATGACAGTGAAGAGGATGAGGAGGAAAGCCAAGAACCAACTCTCGAACAGGTGATCATTTTCGGAGAACCTAGGTAGACCATCATCTTTAGTGTTCAATGCTATTTACATCTTTAAATTAAAATTAAAGGAACATCCTGAGGATGGGCCAAACCAAGATGGGGAGGTGATTGAAGAGGGCGACTTTGATGACTCGTACTTTCAACATGAGACCAATGAGACTGTGGATGGAATTCAAGCAATTGATGCGGTAGAGTTACCCTGTTTTCCTTTCCATTTATAACTATGCAGGCTTTCGAATTCATCAACAGCCCACAAAAGCATTCCCACGTTTCACTGCGCCAGGATTATCACGGGACCCCCAACTCAAGCAACCAATTTGGCCCTTTAGCCACGCACGAAATGAGCGTTAATGAATCGCCCGAGAAGCCCTCTTTACTACGGTAGTAGTTCAAATCTTCTATGTAGATTCACTTTTTAGCCCTACACACCGCCATTCACGTCAACAAACTTGCAGCCACTCAACTCCGACACAACCACGCTTCAAACAGCGATCCTGCTTTGGTAGTTTCTAAACAATAGTTTAAAATTCCAAAATATTTAGGCTCATTCAATCTCTTTTTATCGGAAACAACGCTCGGCAAAGGATGACAAAATCGAAAAATTGTTTTGCAGGAGTGCAAACGCCGACCTCGCAACAAAAAGTGCTTTTTCTTTGGAAATCTTGGCAATCATTTTTATTTAGGTTATTCAAGCCGAGTCACATCATGACAGAGAGAAAAGAGTTGACACTACGGTAAAAGAACTCTTCAAATTTTTTAAAGTAAGATTTTAGGCTCGCATTCGGCAAGCAATCGCCGTTGAAGGGGAACGGGTTGAGCAAGCTTCCCCGAGCTTTGATGTTTTGCCGCCAATCAGGAAAATTCTCAGGAAGTCGTGAGGAGGCTGATGCCCAACGAGCACTGCTTATTGCCAAGGAAACCCAAAATGTTCTTATCACGGAAATGGAGCGTATTGACCAACTGAGATCGCAAGACATTGACGCTCCTCGAGGCGCTCTTCAAATTTCGCAAATTAAACTGTTTTTGTCGCGTGATTTCTTGAAGGGCTTAAGAGATCATTTTGGAGGTAAATGATTTTAATTTGTCGCATTAAACATGGACTTAGATATCGATGTCGTCTACTATTTCGTAATCCTTATCAAATGCGAGACCACTTTGCTTCACACGGCATTGAATTCAAACGAAAACAAGATTAATGATGTAAGCGAAGCTTTCATTTAGTATCTTAAATCATTTCAGGATGGATCAATCGAATTGAAAAAATATTTCCAAATCGAGAACATTCATCCGGATTTTAACTGCATCTTTGAAGTGTATGCCTTGGTAAGCTTGTATTTGATTAAACAGATAGCAAAATTAGAACATTTTTTTGTTTCAATTCAAAGCCTATTTTAGAGATCAAAAAGAAGGCATGTCGCATGAAGAGAAATATCGTATCAAAGGAGGAACGTTGAAGAGTATCCAATCTGGCTTCACCATGAAAACACAGAAAAATTCGTCGCACCACAACCCAATCCTTGATTCGGGCTTCAATTGGGTGGATCTAAATAAATTTCCGTCTATTCATCTGTTCTTTAGTTGGTCGACTCAATCTTCACATAAATGGAACGGATCGACGCAAATTCCACTTGATCGAGCCACAACACCCTCTATCGGGAGAAGTACACATGAAAATTAAAAGTTAGTTTTATTTGTTTCAAAAATTTCTACAAATGAATGAACTTTAGGTCCGCCACTGGCAAAGCCGGAGTTCCTCATCGCGGATTCCTTTCACTCTATCAGAAGACGCAAGGATTAGCTTCTTGACTCGGTTGGCAGTTTTAAAGTTAACGTTTATAATGGATATTTTTTTCAGATATTGGTGCGTTCTAGAGAAGGGGTGAAATGAAGTTTTGGCGTAGCCCCGAAGATGAAAAACACCAAGGTATTTGATCATCTACATATGATCCAACTAGGCATGTTTACTTTAGGATTGGGCTGTCTCAATCGATTTGTCGACTTGCACGAAAGACGGAGCTATCGTTGAGCCACATGGAAATTTCCCCATTCTTTTCACATCGACGTTTGGGTACCAAAAGAAGGCACAAATCGAGAAATGGAAAACTGGTGGTGAATACTTTTAATTACATTGGCGAAGAATAATTAAATTGTTTAGAGTATTGATGGCGGCCGATCACAAAGAAATGCTTGTTGAATGGATTAATGCGCTTAACAAGACGGTCCGAAATTTGTTGGTTTGGAGTACCTCAATAAATCACTAAATTAATTTTACATTTTGTTTTGTCGTTTTACTTTTGATCAACGGATTTTTAGTGACTTTAGGCGTCATTTTTGTGAATTTATTTGTATTTTTCTATTTATTTTGAGAACTTTACCAACTCGCATGATCCTCTGCTTTCTCTCAAGAGTTCGAATTTTATTTGTATGTACTTTTTTAACGACAAGAAATTGCTGTGCTGAAATAAAGTGTATTATATTAATGTAAAATGCACTTCTGACTACTTTAACATATAAAAATCGTAGATTGCCTAACATTGAAACAAGTCCTTCGATTATCTAGGCAATGAACCTCCTTGATACACTTATAACAATCGATGTCTCCTACCAGGGAGAGGTGGAGTTTAAGCCTGTAGAATGGCACCCTGATAGAGTTTGACCCGGGGAAATCCGAATCCCGTTTTTTTTTTTGGACAATCATGGTCCAAATCCGGCTATCGCGGCATTTCGCTTTTTTTTCTAAAAGATCTGTACATAGTATAAAATGTAGCTAAAGTAATTTAGGTACTTGTTCAAAAAATTGTAACCTTACTCTTTTTAAAGACTCAATTTTCAACACAATACACAAGGCACAAAAAAAATCAGCATTTATCCATAAAGCGGAAAAAGTATGAAAAGCAAAAATATTCTTCACATCGAGGGCATCGGAGAAAAGCCATTTCACCGCGCCGACGATTCGCTGCAAATCATTCATGTTCGAGCGTTCGAGCAAAAGAACAATGATGCCGGCGTAATTTTTTGTAAATCCGAACCATGATCATCTGCCTATGAATCCTCTGCGCTAGCTCCACACCACTGATGGAGCATTTGTACTCGCTAGAGAGCACCCCTAAATTCCAATACAAAAACTTTGATGCCAAATATCAGGCGATTGAGAAGTCCGCAGAAAAACTAAAAACGGAGTCAAATTCCCGTGTCAAACTCTACCAGGGTGCCATTAAACTCCACCTTAAGTTGATGCCTCCTCCCTAGTTAGAGATACCGATGTATGGCTTGACTGGTGAAAATTTTAGCGTATTTTATCGACGTATCACAGAATTTGTAGAACAAGGCAAATCAAATTGAACATTCGAAATACAATTGAGCTAAAATGAAAACCTAATCACAACAAAGAACGTGAACTCTAAAACTCAAAACACAATAACTATCATTAAATTTGTTGGTTTTATTCTCTAATCTTGTCGAGCATCTCGGCGCACAGTTGGAACGGTGACGGTGATCTCCGGCCCTGAAAGAATAAAGTTTGAGCGTTGTTATAAACAACAGCCTTTAAAACTGGCCTACGGCTAAAGCTGTCCCTTTTAATCAAATGTGGAAACTAGATAAAATTTTGGATATAATAGTCAAATTTTCAGACCGATTGGTTTGGCCGTTTTTTCTAAAACAGCGGAACAGACACACATATACTCTCTCCCTTATAATGAGTAAGATATCTACCACAAAACTCAATTTAATATGTTCTAATACTAATCATCCAGCTAAATCTCACGCACCTAACACCTTAAACTACATATATCTAAACCCACCATCCTCTCTTCTCGACTCGTATTTGACATCCCAATCGTGAATAATCGCTCAATTCAGGCGCCAAATCGAGCATATCCAGTTCCTCTTCGCCGGCCGGGTTTGTCTAAAAATTCGTGATTGTACATTAGCGACCGTAAATCGGTAATCAACGAAAAGATGAACCTTATCAACTCTGTCGAAATGTTCTTTACTCAATATGACGTGGCATGTACAACAAGCGAGAGTTCTAAACAAATGTTTAAGTTTAAAGTTATGAAACCAAACCCTTCGCAAGCTCCATATCCGTCAAGTGGAAGATCGTTATCGACTATAACATCTAGTAACGAATCCCCGAGCTAAAAATGAGAAAATTGTGTTTTCAAAAAGAATTTTCAGACCTTTGCTTTTCCGGTGAACGTTTGATCACCGCACACGAAATGTACAGAGTCGATCTTTTTCGGAGCATTCGATGATAGACTTCTCGCCGAGCATCGGAGTGACGTTGAATCGTTGATGGTGTTTAATCGGAAGCGGAGCTGAAAAGCAATAGAATTACCGTCTTGAAATCTTCAAGACGATGATGCAAAATCGGTATCAACTATTTTTACGCACTATTTACCCCAAAATACGCACTCTTAACGTCGATGTTATCCTCGGTAGTGTGATCGATGTGCTCGCTGTCGCAATCAATCGCCCTAGACGAAACATTTACGGTGTGAAATACGGTAATCAAAATCGATCCTGTAAAACGAATCACGATTCAATTTACGCGTAACCCTCCCATTTGGCCAAAGTATCTATCATAAGCGTTTCCCAACCCATTGCTTTGCCTTACAAATCATTTTTGATTTCAATGTTTATTCCAAATACACCTACAAGTGGAAACAGTTAGAAAAAAAACACGGTTCTTTAGCAGATCATGATAGACACCAGCTTTCACTGCACATAATAAAGATAGACAATCAAGAAACATAAAAATACCCCTAAAGACACAAGATAAATATAGAATTTAGGGTCGTACGAAGGAGATGATGACCAAGAGAAATAGATATAGCAAAGTTCATTGAAAAACAAAAGAAAAGCGATTACATGGTTACTTAACAAGATAAAACTGTTTAAAAGCATTTAGTGTAAGATTCCTAAAGTTGTAAAGCTCGAACAGAATCGCTGACTGGATCTGGGAGTATTGTGCTGAGGAAAAACAGCGGCTGTTTCCAGAAGCAAAAGTTTCTAGAATCCTTCCACCTATCAAAAATACTTTGGCTTCTGAACCAACTCAAAAAATATAAAACCAAATGACACCAAATCAATGCTAATAACAAAATAAGTGAACCCATCAAACAAATTAATCACTTTTCAAAGTCGACTCTACAAGAACGCCGTCGGCCGGAATTGTCGTGGAAGATCGGTTGAAGGTGCTTGCCCCAGAATTCCTCTAGTTGCACAGCACACTAAAAGTTCATTTACAGACAAAATAACCCCAAAGACTTACATCATAAATCTCACTGTCCTCCAAATTATACTTCTTGCAATTCATGACGACCAAGAGAGCATCATCTTTGATCTAAAGTTGATTAATAAAGGATCATCTAGCAAAATTTCTAACCTGCTCAGCCGAGTCGTAGTCGTGATTTTTAGCTTGTTGATGATTGTTCGAAGATCCATTGGTTTCTTGATCACATCACGATAATCGGGAACCTGAAAAGCACCACATGTAAACTCAATGATCAATCGATCATGTTTTGCCTATGCTTTGGAAGCCCTTAACTGTTCGAATTAAATACCTCTTTTGGATCAACTGGCTCAAGGAACGGCCAAGCATACTCTTCCCTCATCGCCAACCGGATCACATCCTCCAGCTTCTTGATCTTCTCCTAGAATTGGTACTGCTCAATCAAGGTTCTAGGTCAAATACCTTCAAATTTGGATCCGAGTCCCTCAACCCCAGGCCAAACGATCTGTTCGACATCATTGAGCTATCATTCACTAAACAAAAATAATTTAAACACCATAAAATGTGAACTCTACCACTTGTATTCTTTGTACTTCGACGCTGAGCAGCCACCTGGCGTTTGCTTTTTCTTCTCCCGTCATAATCCGACTCCGAACAGGTATCCTCATCAGCACTCTGGGAGTCTTCAGTCTAAAAGTTAGAGCAGGTAAGTTATTACAATGAACACTAGCACCTCATCATCTCCCTTCATCGAATCGTCTTCCTGATTGCCCGACCCATTTGTTACACTTGAGTCCGCGTTACTATCCTGCCGAGCAATCCTAAAAACATGTAGCTAATAAAGTTAGCCTACAAACTTTTTCTTTGGTGGTGCCAATGATGATAACCGCTCGATGTTGTACTCTGCTCGTTTGACTTTTCTGCCTGACGAAGTACGCACCACCGACAAACTGAAAGCCAAGGTAACTCCTGTTAAATATGACCACACACCTGTTTTCGTTTGACGATTGACTTGCTTCATTCTCGTCATTCCCATCCATTTCATCATCGCTTACGTGACCGTTAGCTAAACATTGAGTATTTGCTTATTACGGTGATTTTTAAACTCACCATGCCCATTTGTTTTGTTTTTCTCAGCAGAATTTTCTTCGGGTTGCACCTCTTCTTCAACTCGGCAATCTTGGCACGAATAGGGATTGACAACTTCTTTCAGCCTTGGTCGAGCACAGTCCAAATGGTAACATCTAAGCGTTATTGACATGAACATGATCCATCTATCAAAACCTACTTATCACACTCCAAAGCAAACGACAAGGTCCTCCGGTGTTCCCTTCTTTCTACAAACGCGACACTTTGCCTAAAATGTATTAAATGCAAAATAACGCCGCCAACCACTCACCAGCAATTTACTTTTTTCCCATTGAATGGCTGACTCGATTGAGAAGAGGTGAAGAGCTAGAGAAGGCACCGATTTGCAGTCAACAACAGAGCGCATCCAGTGAATCAATGTCCAAGTGGGCTCGATGACGCTGCCCGCTAAAAGAATAATTTTTACATTTCATCTCCCTTGAAGTTTCCCGGGTTTGACTTCATCACTCCTTCAACAGAAAACTCACGAGCTATCCTTGTGAACGGCTTCTTAATGTATTTGGCATTGATCGCTTGGACGACTTGCAGAAAAGCGATTCCAACCCTATAATGACATTAGATCCAAACAAAGTTTGAAAATTTTACTTTTGAATATCAGTCAACGATTCAAAGTTTTCTCTTGAGTGAAGCACTTCTCGTTCCTTGATTTCACAAACAACGTCATCTAAATGGTGTTTTGGTATGCCAATTATAAATTCAAACCTTGTAGCATCGATGTGATGTCGCCGGTTTCCGTCAAGACTTTTTCGCCACTCCTCTCTGTTGATGTAGCTGGGGAGTCGACCAAGAAAGCCTTCTGTCATCTGAAATAAGAGATGTTTCCCCTACAACTTAAAACCAAATTTACCTTTTCTTCCAGCTCCAAAATCATATCGATCACCACATCGAGCCATTTAATCGAGTTTTCTTGTTTTGCTGGATCCTCTGCCATTTCCATAAAAGATTGAGAAAGTTGTCCGTTATTAGCCTTATTGTTCTAAAAGTTGATTAAATGTGGAAGAAGCGCTTAAACAAACCGTTTTCTCAACCAGTTCATGCAATTGAGGCTTCAAGTAGTTGATCTCTTCGACCAAAGCAATTTCTCGAAAACCACGAGGATTGCAAGCACTCAACACCTAAAGCAGTATGATTAACATTGTTTTGCAAACTTTAGTTACTTCTTCCAATTGCTCCAGTGATTGAACATAGGTCCATTTTGGTCGTTGTTGGGCTTTCAATCCATGGACTGGACAATTTTCCATTTTTGCCGTACAAGCAAAGACCTCTTGACGCCAATCGTCTTCTGCCAAATGCTCGCCCTAAAAATTTTCCGTCAAATGCGCACAGTACCCAAAGCTAATTTAATCCAGAATACAAACCATATTTTTGCACGGAGTTGCTTCTGCTTGACAGCTGCCAATTCGATCTCCTCTACCAGGATTCTCAACCAACAAGATCGGTATCTAAATACGTATTGTAATAAGCATTGTGCACCAAATTACCTGATCACAAACAAAGTAATTTCTAAAAGCACGATCTCTTCCAAGAGAGCACGGGCCGAACAGACCTAAACACTGTGTAAAGAAGCCAAGTAACTTGACGCTTACTTGAAACTTCAAAGATGTCGGCTCGCATATCCTCAATCGCTTCTTGCACAAGTGTTTTCTGGAGCTCTCTCGCGAAGCAAATTTCACCAAGATCAAATTCGAGCCATGCAATGCCAGCTAGTAGAATCTAAATCAATTTTACAAAATTGTGTAAACCACGCACGTTCAAATCAAGTAAAGTATATAGCCCACTTTGCGCAATTCTTCTTTGTCGTGTCTTCGTCCCTCTTGTGCTGCTTTGAGCATTGCTTTCAGTTTCATCGAGTCTTTTGAAGTCTTCGGAATGTTCACTTCGTTACCCTCAGCCTCCATTTCTCTCAACAAGCGAGCATCTTTTGCTTCCTAAATAGAATTGGAAATAAAACACTAGCTGTATACAAACCGCTTCTTGCTTAGTGTCCCAGTTCTTCAACTTCCTCAGCTCGATTCGTTGGGTGCAAATCTCCTCAACGCGTTCAGTGGCATGGTTTCTGAAAAAGATTTAATAAGATTACAGTGAAATTTAGTTCACCTAATCTTCGCGTAAGTCAAAAGTTGTTGAATGATGACATGAAGTAGATCCAATCTCTCCTCGGGCTCCAAATCAAACACGGTACTCTAAAACAACAGCCATATAATTTGTAAATGTAATTTAGTTTGCAATTGTAATTTATCTGAGTCACTTACCACTTCAAGTTTCCTTATCACATCTGGATGTTCTATTCGGTACATGTAGGCCGGGTCTTCATAAAAGCGGATCGATCCTCGTTGAAAGAGCCTATAAGAAAAATCATTTAATCAACGAATTGATTGAGGTAACCTATGTCTATGTTTCCCGGAGCGCGTCACATAGCCGCTCGTCAAGAATAGCAGTCGCAGCACTTCCGTTATCGACAACCAATCAGTGTACAAATTGCGAACAGAAGAGCCTGTACAAAATCAGTTATTAGCTTTCCAACTAAAATACAGGGTGTTCCAACAAAAAAGTCAGTTCAACGCGATTTCTCTCAGAATTTCTAGTGGCTCCTGGTGGTTATTGTGGTGCCAAAGTGGATATTTTGGGCGGGTAAATTTTTGATATTTTGTCACTTTTTCTCGATTTCGTGACTTTCCCATACATGAAATTTCTCAGCAACCATGGTCACCATCACCATGAGATTTTTGCCATAAGATTAAAACTTTGGATTGGCATTGTGGTGTCATATTAGAGTTAATAAATAAACTAAGTTTTTTAGCCAAACACTTTGTTCATCTACATTATATGATAATCTGTCGTACATAAGAGATTTTCAATTCGCCCTTTGAAGAAGTGTCCCGTTTTTCCAAGGAAACGCTGATCAATAAAGTGTATGGCTTAAATTTGTAGTTATCCTAATAATGTTTATTATGCGCCACAATGCCAGTACAAAGTTTTAATTTTATGGCAAAAATCTCATGGTGGTGGTGACCATGGTGGCTCAGAAATTTGATGCATGACGTGACGAAATCGAGAAAAAGTGACAAAATATCAAAAATTTATCCGCCCAAAATATTCACTGTGGCACCACAATAACCACCAGGAGCCACTAGAAATTCTGAGAAAAATCGCGCTGAGCTGACTTTTTTTGTTGTAACACACTGTATTTCCATAAAAGCTTCTTACCAAGAGTGTATCGTATTTCCTCGTGCAAACGGGTCATCGTTTTCAACTCGGCACCGTGCTCAGGATGCTCATAATCGGGATTCATCTCCATCACCACCTCATCCCTTCGTGAAAAATCCACTAAGTACTCAAATTGATCAATTTATTGCTTCAAAGTGCTACCTTCATCTCCTTCTTCTTCGTCGCAAATCTCAGCACGTGCCTTCAGTAAAATTTCCATCAGAATTGAGAATGTAGAGTTTCGTGGATCTCGACATCTGTAAAAAAATTGTAAAAACAAAAGATATTTCACACTTACCGCAAGGCAACCACCACATCCGAAAGAGTGACTCGTGTTGTGCTTTTCTTCTCCTTGATTGGCAAGAATTCGGCAAACGAGGCAAAGAACTGGAGTACGTCAAGCATTTTTCCAAACATCTTATCGGAGAGCCATTCCGGAAGTGGGATTTGGGGCAAATTAGGCATTGGCTAAAGTTTTCATTGAGAAATTTTGACAAATTTGCTTACCTTCAAATCATCACACTCAAGATCGTCTCGTTTGCGGGCCCAGCTCTGTAGTGCCTCCTTCTTCTTGCGGTGTTTCTCTTGCTCCTAAATAGGATTCATAAAAAGTTAAGTTTTAGTCTACATATCCCTATTCCCAAGTTTAAAACGAATACATCAACATACCCGTTTCCGTGCTTCCTTGATCGCCTCGTTCAACTCGTCAATATTCCTCTTCGAAAGGAACTTCTCGGTTTGTTGCCATCTATAATGAATTGGAAATTATACTCAATAAAAAGTTCAAACTTCTCCAAATTTTCAACTCCCGCTCGTTTGGCTTTCTCAAATGTGATGTGTAGCTCGGCTTGTTGTTGCTTAATCTAAGCGTAACTAGTATCCAAATTGAAAATTAAATGCATACCTGAACCTTTTTCTTCTCTGACAACGGTTTCTTTGAGGGGCTGCTTTGTTCAGACTTCTCAGCCTTTGGTGTCTTCTTCGAATGTCTTGAGGCTTTTGGAGTTTTTGATTTCTCCTAAGGATCCCATATCAGTAAAGAGAATACGTCTGATCACCAACCGGTTTATCACCCTTTTCACTGGCATCGTCGTCGGCATGTGCTTCATCTTTCTTCAGCGATGCGCGTCCACGAAGAAGAACTGTTGTTTTTTGGAAAAACGGGCAACGGTCCAGCAAACAAATCTGCCCACTTGCGCTCAGATATGCCGTGCCGGTTCAAGTATTTATCCTAAAACAAATGTTTAAGTTCAGCGATTCCTTTTAAATAAATCACTTACCAAAACAACATATCGCTCTCCTTCTTGATTTCGCACAGAGCATTTATTCTTCAAGAAGAGCTTCAAGTTTTGTCGACCCAGCACCCGTTTGTTGCGGCTAAAATAATAAATATAATTTTTGGCAAAAGCTACTAAAAATTACTATATATTCATGTATTGAACTCCAGTTTTCTCTCGATTTTCTCCCTCTACTCCATGTATCCGAAGGGTGTAACTGTAGGCTTCTGGAGACGGCGCGTGCATGTCCTTTAGCTTTCTAAACTTTGGGAATGATGATTAGAATATTGCACGACTTAAATAACTCTGAGGGCCCAAATATTATGCAATTAATGCGCATAATAGTTAACTAAGTCAAAAAACCATTTCACTTAATGCCAAAAATCAGAACTTACTCAGCGGGCTCCTTGTAATTGTTTGTATCCACGGTGATGCCAATAACAGTAGCCGGCTTCTTTCCTTCACTCAATGTCACCTCTTCACCGATAAAATATCTAAAAGAATGTTATTAAAAGCCTATTTTCATTTAACTAACCTGTCTTTCAAAAAATTGTACACATCGTTGAGAAGATCTTCAAATCGGCCCCTGCAAGTCAGCTCCTGGACAAGCCACAAAATTGGAATCTCGAGGTATTGTGGGAACTGGCCGAGTTGTTTCTAAAATTAATTTACAATCTCCGATCAATAAAAACCAACCATAGCATCTTGTTCCGACTCGAGCGCCTCGAAAAATGTGAGATTTGACTTGTTGGTGTACTCGCATGACCACACCGTTGAATTCAACTCCATCAAGCGGTCGAAGAATTCACTAGACAAAAGATTTATTTAATCAATCTAACCCTTACTAATTTCACCATTATTTTCTGATTAAAAGCCTTTAACTTACTCATATGATGTGAAGATTTCATCTGTGGCCTCGCAGTAGTAGACTTTGATGTCGGGTGCCAATCCCTTTGGTGGCGAAATCTTTTCCCATGGACGCTTGTTGTAGAGAGGCATCTTAAAAAATCTAACAATATAATCTTTCAAAAAATAACAACCCAAAAAACAATGACAAGAGTGAAAGATCAAGGCAACAGATAATTTGAAAATTCTAGCAAAATTAAGTCTCTTTAAATGCAAAAACTAGATCACAGGCGAGCAAAATGTTCAACATACAGCAAATTTATAAATGCATCAAATCTGTAAACAAACAAACCACGAGAGAAACCCTAGTCCTATAAAATCCCTCCACAGTGTCGTGAAGCGTTCGCGTTTACGTCAAAATTGTCGATCTTCACCTCAAAAACTTGATAATGATGATTAATTGCTGGTTCCAGATGTAGATGCCAATTTCCCGAAGCCAATACGCCATTTGAGGAGCGATTCCGAAAGAAGACACGTTTAGCTCGAGCATGAACCAAACCCATAGCGCACATCGCGCAAGGTTCTTGTTCCAAAAACACATCACAACCTGTGGCGAGATAAGCGAATCGATTCTCTTCAACACTGTAAGCTTCCGACTGTTGATATTTCGCTAAATTTCTAATAGCTTCAAGTGCCGCATGCTCCAAAAGCATAGTTCCATGTGTTGATTCCGCGAGGCTCCGCTCTCCGTCTGCAATTAGACAACCATTGGATGGAACTTTTGACATATTCGCCAAAAATTATTCGTGACTCATCCCCATCAAATGGTTGATCCGCAAGCACCTTCTCTATCTCGGGCATCGAATGGAACGAGGTCGGCCATTTTTCCTTCGCAAATTCAAACTGCCTCTCGGTCAACGGCTTCTTCGCGGGCACCTCAACGATTTGAAACTCCAATGGCAAGTTCAGTCCCAAGAGTTTTTTTTTCGCTTCTTCGAATAGCGATTCACAATGAACGGGGCACACGAGCATCATCCCCTTTTTTGATCCTTTTCAAATGGCGAAACTCGTCGGGAATGTCGGGTAGCGTTTTGATCAACTGGCCAATCGTTTGCAATTGAAGCACGTGGACGACGTAGAATTGCACGAGCGGCACCTCAAAGGTCGTCAATTCAGCTGGCAGGATTGGGAGGACTCGAAAGTTGATTCCGCTAACGCTGGGCGCGATCCGGTGTCCATTCAGCGTCGGCTCAAATTCCCGTCGTTTCGCCGGACACTCCTCGCCATTCGAATCATCCCGTTCACCGCAACGTTTCAGCATGAAGTTGGCTGAAATTTCAACGTTAACTGTGCAAAAATATTCAAATGAAAATCGAAAACTAAACTTAAAATTCATTGCAGACAAAATATTGAGGAAAAGGGGATTTGTGCGGGAGAGAACAAACTACAAAGGGGGTTTTTGCGAAGAGAGGCAGCCTCGGAAAGGAAAAGAGACCCAATGAAATCGAATATCCATCTTTTGGCTGCAACGATAGATTGAAGAAAGCGGGAAAGATGAATTTTTAGAAATTTTAATTACGCTTGATTAAATCTTTGTCGTTGATCGATGATTCGCTTCTTAAACATCATGTTATGCGGTAATTTAAACTTTCCTAAAGTTGAAGTTAGCATCTTGGGATCATTTGGCTTACTTGCTTACCATTTTGTGAAAGTGAAAAACTTTTAGAAATTTGAAAAAGCGGAAGAATGAGATTCGTGAAAGAGTCCATTTTATACCTGCTACAATATCCGACAATAGTAACAAATAGAATTCACAAAACACTGCCAAATCAATTGTAACAATATTTGTATTCATTTTACTTGTTAAATCACAACAATACCAAGTGTTACAGTACAAAAAAGTTTGAATTTGTTTTCATAAGTAGAACTTAAAATCCCTGCTCCCAACTTCTTTGGGCCATTGCTTTCGAAAATTGAAGCAAGAAAAGCAAGAAAAGCAAAAAGCTATGAGCATAAAAGCAGGGGTAGGCTAGTTTCCGCAATTTTTTTTTGCGCAACAGGGTTATTTGCGCAACTGGGTCGTTTGCGCAACTCACCATAACTTTCTTCTAAGTCGGTCAATCTTTATGCTTTTGGTGTTATTTTGTTGCACTTATTGAGATCTACAAAATGAAACCAAAAGCATAAAGATTGGCCCACGTAGAAAAAAGTTATGGCGAGTTGCGCAAATAACCCTGTTGCGCAAAAAAAGTCGCGGAAACTAGCCTACCCCTAAAAGCAAGAAAGAAAAGAAACTCGCGTTTCAGCGAAAAATCTTGATTTCAGAAAGCTCAGATCAAGATTTTGAATAAACTGAAGAAAAGCAAGCACTTCCGTAACCGCTTACGCTGGCTAAATCCATTAAACCGTTCAGCGGAAAGCTGAATATTGATAAAGAATTGGGGAAACTATATGAAAAAAAAAAACATTTTCATGTTTCTTTGATTGAACGGGGGGGAAAGAACGCAGAGAGAGACCCCGTTTTGCCCGTTAATGTTTGGGCGCGTTGCGGCTCTTCTCTCGAAAAGTGTATGAACCAGAAACGTTTTCTAAAAATTTATGCCTCACATGGCGGAAAGAAAACATTGTTTTGTGTTTTAAAAAAATGATAGAATAGATGGAAAACTTTGGAAACATATCAATTAGACTAAAAGAGCCAATGATGAGTGAACTTTTGTCAGTTTAGCCCAAATGTTGAGCCGGGTTTTCCAAAAAATTTTGAGCACCAATTGGAGTTGGTCCTAATTTTTAAATGAAAATGATTTGAAGTAGCTAATCTACAATCAAAAAGCAAAGGATATCGTAATAAGAGTCAAGCTTTAGATTTTGAAAAGATTAAGAAAATGATGTCAAATGAAGTCTAGACTGACCTAGGTAAAGGTTTCAAATTTTCGTCTTCTGCCGCCGATGCTTTGTGCAGAGAAATAGGTCTCGCGACGAAAAGGCTCTCTTTCCCAAACACTAGGAAAAAAGAAAACAGAAAATATAGAAAATATTGAAAATTGAAGTAAAATTGAAGAGATTTTGAGGGAAATGAGAGACTTTGCGCGAGCATTTTTGTAAGAAGTGGGTCCAGAAGTTTTTGAAGAATTAGTTACCGTAAATTCTCTAATAGAACGCCATTTGCATACGGGTGTACAGTCGCGTAGTCTAACTTTGAACGTCCCGTTCTTCGCGCTGCTTTAAGCTACACTATGCGCTTGGGTGCAAATGATAGCCCTTGAAATCTAGTATTTTTTGGTACCAAAAGTATGGTTGGGAAAACTCTAGGAGCTGAGATAAAATGATTTTCTAAAAAGAAGTTAGACTACGCGACTGTACGAGGGGGTGACGTTCTATTAGAGTATTTACGGTAGGAAAAGTATCCGTGATTGTTGGATGAGGCTGAGACTGTTTCAAACTGTCCAATGGGTTGGGGCAGGCTAGTGCCAAGCCAGAGTTGGTGTCCAAATCGAAATTTGAAGCACTCTGTGTGAGAACAATGGAATCAATGCCAAGGAACTCTGGCTCTGGCTCAGCACGATCGACTAGAGCAAGGCTTGTCAAAACTTACCTGGAAAGTACCGTAAGATTTCGCAAATACCGTATGACTTACAACGTAGGAATATCGTAAAACATACAGTCAGCCAGTACTATTCTAAAATTTATCTTAATATCATAGTAAAGCATGGTTGCATGGTCTGCAAATAGGATTCCAGATGCGCTGGAATTCTCCAGATTCCAGATGCGCTGGAATCCTTCAGATCCCAAACCGTTACAAACACCAGTATGAAGCTAACTTACAGTTTACAGGTAATTTTCAGATTTTCCCAGCATTTCCCTGTTTTAAGCATCGTTTCAGGCGATTCTTGGAATTCCTGAAATCACTCAAAATGTATCTCCAAATGATAACACCATTTCCATCCGAGAGAACCAATCTCCCGGGAAGAGAAAGATCTAGGACACATCCACCACAAATGAGATCATTTTCTCGCACCAATCGTATAGTTTGCCTGAATATCTTTACGTCTTTCGACTAATAGTGCAATCGAATTCTAACAATCGAATTCTAATAGTCGAATTCTAGTAATCTAACTCTAATAATCGAATTCTAATAGCCGAATTCTTTGTGCACTTTGGCTAATTGTATCTCTACCGTAACCGAATACTTTTTGATTAGTACACTTAATCTTAGCTAATCCTAGTTATTCCTTCAAAAGATTTAGATCAGTATGATCTCCTCTCGAAATGTGACCATATTGACGACAATTCTCTCAACAACATGTCTCCTTTTGATGGTCACCGTTCTGCCATTGACAATGTTGAAAATTCAACGCGCTAACACGTTTATGCTGGACAAAGTGCAGCAGTGCAGGGTAAGCTTGAACCTACTTTTTTTTCCCCTATTTTTGCTTTTGTCTGAAGCTATTTTTGAGCACTTTTAAGTCTTCCACAGCTAAAATGTTCTACAGTATACATGAGCCTTTTGTAGAAAACGACACGTTTTAACAAACAGCTCTTATTTTCTAAAGCTTGAAATAGCATTGTATCCACGCTCCAAGAGCTGTTTGCTAAAATCCAATCCATCCATCCAAGAGCTGTTTGCTAAAATGTGAAACTGATTCTTTTTCTACAAAAAGTCGTGTCTATTCTACAGATTTTCTATCTTTACGCACCATAGCTTAACAATTTAGCGTCACAGAAAAGGATTAGTATTAACGGTATGACGAAGCATTTGTAGTGATTTCAATTGTAATTAGTACTACACTTTAGAAGTCGAAGAAAAACATTGTATTTTTAACCTTTTAGATGGATTCTTCCGATCTATGGAAACAAGTGGCGGCTGGTGAGGTTCGAATGAAGAGGCAAAACTATGCGAATGAAGGGGCAAAGGGAACTATAAATGGGGGAAAATGTAAGTCAATAGAAATAAAAACAGCAAAATAGATCCCTAAAACATTCTTAAATAAGATTTCTATAAGTTTTACCAAGTTTTGCAACGGTCCAGAAGATGAACCTTGCTTTCGTTGTTTCCATTCAACTCCGCAAACCATCTTACAATTACAATTGTGGTCCGGCTACGAAAAGTCCCGGATTCTCCACTCGGCTCATTTGGAAATAGATTTCTTTCTCATTTCAAAGAGAAAAGAGAAACACAAAATTTATCGCGTAAAACAATAATCTAACAAAATCAAAACAAAAAAACAAATGATTTGAAAATCAAAAGAAACGACGACGTGACGCTTCCATCGACTACCTCCGAATGGCGGCGACGTCAATTGAAATGCGACGTCGTGGGGGGTGGGACAAATGCGACCTTTTTTTTGCTGGAAAAGGCCTTAGAGCTTCAAAAATGTTTCCATAGAAGGGAATCTTATGCGTAGATTCCGAATTTCGACAAATCAGACCTCACTGACACGTCAAATTTGGGCTAAAAGGCAAAAACTGCGGAAAAGCGTTAAGTTGCATAGTTTTTGCCTTTTAGCCCAAATTTGACGTGTCAGCGAGGTCTGATTTGTCGAAATTCGGAATCTACGCATACGATTCCCTTCTATGAAAACATTTTTGAAGCTCTAGGACCTTTCCTAAGGCCTTTTCCAGCAAAAAAAAGGTGCGCAAATGTCCAGGTGCGCGAAAAAAGGTAGCATTTGTCCCAGCCCCACGTCGTGCGAAAATTAACATTTAACAATAACATAAATCAAATTTGTGATAGAAATTCAAATTTAACATTAAAACGTCTCGAAATCATTCTCTAAGGAAGACTACTATTAAACATTTAGGTTGCTCTTGTCAACAAGGTCCACCCGGTCCTCCCGGTGGCTCCGGACAATCAGGAATGGATGGTTCGTTGAGAATTGAATAAGTATATTTAAAATTTGAAGAACTTCATACTTTTATAATCAAAATATCATTTTATATTGCAATTTCAAACTTTAGGAGAGCCGGGAATGATCGGATCAAATGGGAGAAACGGTCGATCCGGGAAGTACGTGATGCCACCAAAAAACGATGATCTTTCATGTCAAAAGGTATTGAAATTATTGAATTGAATATCAAAAATGAAATTGAAACATGGGGTAGGCTACTTTGCGCCAATTTTTGCGCAACAGGGTGTTGCGCAACTCGCCATAACTTTCTTCTAAGTGAGCCAATCTTTATAATTTTGGTTCCATTTTGTAGATCTCAAGAAGTGCAACAAAATGAAGCCAAAATCATAAAGATTGGCTCACTTAGAAGAAAGTTATGGCGAGTTGCGCAAACGACCCAGTTGCGCAAATGACCTACTTGCGCAAAAAATTTGGCGCAAAGTAGCCTACCCCTGAAACATTACTCAAATTTAGTTAAACAATATTTAAACAATATTTAAACAATTTAGACAATATTTAAACAATATTTAAACTTAAATCAAAACACTTTAGTATGTTTTAGTGTCCCTCGGCGGTTCAGGGTCCACCCGGGCATCCCGGTGCCAAAGGAGCGAGGGGACAAGCTGGGTAAATCTTTTACAATTTACCTTACAGTAGTAGTACAGTACTAAATGTATCTAGATACAATTATATATCTGATATACTGTAACACAGTAGATTAGCTATTTCACTTTTTCAGTCAAGCAGGCACTGATGGAAGCAATGGAAACCCGAGCAGACAAGGCCCACCCGGACCCCCGGGAGTTCGTGGACAACCGGGAATGATTGGAATCCAGGTAGCTATAGAAATTTACATTCAAACTGTAAAAAACAATGACATTTATATTTAGGGACCTCCAGGAGACCCAGGTCGAGTGCTGAATGGAGCTCCTCAAGGTCCAAGTGGACCCCTCGGACAAATGGGACCTCGGGGAAAGCCAGGAGTTAACGGAATGTTAGTTTTAAATATAGAGGCTGCTAGGCTAGCCTTAGTACCTTATTAAAGATTTAACGATATTTCAGTGATGGTAACTCTGGTGGATTGGGCCCAGCCGGTTCCCGGGGAGAACAAGGTCAAAGGGGTTCATCCGGTCAAAGAGGTTTGCCTGGACCAACCGGACCGCTTGGATCACCGGGAATCAAAGGTGCACTTAAAAAAAGCTGTAGCTGATATTTATTATTTGTTAGGTTCCTGCAATCATTGTGCCAAGAGTGACAGAAAACAGGAGACAGCAGCTAAACAGCAAAGTGAGCAAAGACAATGAAAGAGTTGACAAATAGAGTTTTCAGCTTCTGAAGACTACGGATCAAATAACAATCAACAGAATATTTATAATCAAGAACAAAGTGAGTAGTAAGGCAAAGATCAAAGCTTTGATCAATAACAAAGTACTAAATCATCGTTCTGTAGAGCTACAGTATTACCAAGTCTACAGTCTACAGTACTAATGCAATGACATTGCTAATAGCCTAATAATCCAAGCCTACTACAGTAGCACAACTAATGCTAAACCCTTACCAGTAAACTTATTTTGTAAAAATTATTCTAATCAGTCAATTACCAATACTCTTACCATCTCATTTATTTAACCAAACGAGGTCTTACCATTACTAGTACTAGTACAACAATACTAGTAAGACCATTTATCATTCAGTACTAGTACAACAATACTACAGTGCGTTTCAAATTCTTAAACGCACCCTCTAAAATAGCGAATTTTGCATTTTGACCACCTCTACAACTATTAATCTTTTTTCTATTAGAAAGAGTATGTCTTAAAACCTAAATAACACGAAAAATAAGCATGTTGTAAAAAACAAAAATTTTCAAAATAGAAACTTTTTGCTAAATCAACCGTTTCAAATTCTTAAACGCACTATGAAAATATTTTTATTTATCAACACCAATTAAAAATCAAAGGTAAAAAATCAAAACTAATGATCTGTACACGCATCAGAACGATTAATTACTTGAAAAATGCGGTCTGGCATTGAATTGATGAGGTTTTGAAGAGCAGAGACGTCGAGATCGCTCTAGGCCGAAAAAATTGCTGCTTTACGTGTGGAAACGTCTTGAAACTGACGATGATTCTTGTAGACAGCTCGGACAAGTATTCCCCATAAATTTTCTATCGGATTGAGGTCAGGAGACTGAGCGGGTCAGTCCAAAGTTGCAATGTTGTTGCTGTTCAGCCAGTCTCGGGTATCTCCGGCCCGATGAGCTGACGCGTTGTCGTATTGAAACAAATCGGGAACGACTTGATTTAGGAGCGAAAACGGCAACAAGCAATTGTTCAAGATATCTATCTAGTCATCCGATTTGAAACCATCTTCAGAGCGACCGTTCCATCAGCACAAAAGGCTGCCCAAACCCTCACAGAACCACCGCCGAAGTTTCGAGTTCCAAACACCATCGGATCACGTCGAAGATCCCTCCAATAGTAGCCAACGCCATCGGGGCCATCCAAATTCCATTTCTTCTCATAGGAAAAGATCCCCTAGACGCAAAAAAATAATAAAACATAAGCGGCTTTCCAGCCATAGACCAATTCTGATTCATATGAGTCTTGGCGAAGGCCAATCGGGCTTTCTTGTGCAAAAGCTTCACGATCGGTTGGATGTTCAATAACTGTCGATCGATATGTGCGTTTTTCCTTGATGGCTCGCCAAATTGTCGACTTCGAAGAGTTGATTTTCCGTTGCGTTTTCACTTCATTGATCGTTTTTCGGTGGATGTTGTTCACAATATGGCGTCTAGCTCGCGGTGTAAGCTTTGGTTTTGGTCCTGGCTTCTTCTTTGGTGCAGAAACGAACTCGGACTTTACATAATTTCGCACGGCAGAGTCAGATCGGCCCAAATTTTTTTGTGATTTTCCTTATTGAGACGCCAATCCTCAAACGGGCACCAATCTGACCTTTCTCATAATCCGTGAGCAGCTTTCCGTGTGCCATTTATTTGGAAATTAACAAAAATTATAAATTTAATAAAAAAATATGCACAACAAAACGAAAAATTTCAAATAACAACAGCAAAGGCGGGTGCGTTTAAGAATTTGAAACGGTTGATTTAGCAAAAAGTTTCTATTTTGAAAATTTTTGTTTTTTACAGTATGCTTATTTTTCGTGTTATTTAGGTTTTAGGACATGCTCTTTCTAATAGAAAAAAGATTAATAGTTGTAGAGGTGGTCAAAATGCAAAATTCGCTATTTTAGAGGGTGCGTTTAAGAATTTGAAACGCACTGTAGTAAGACCATTTATCATTCAGTACTAGTACAACAATACTAGAAAGACCATGCATCATTATTTAGCTGCTTCTGGTTACGAGTATGAGGCTCGTGAAGAGTCAAGAAATAACCAAAGATACGATGCTCAAGAATCAAAAGAAAGCTATGAAAATCAGAGACCGAAGTCATACAACCAAGCGAAAGGTAACTTGCTAAAAAATTAATCAAAATTTGGGATTTTTGATGGGTAGTAAATGGTTAAGTGCCTCTTTCTCGCCGGGCGGATCTAATTGGTAGAGCGTCTGCCGTCTGGAAGCGGAGGGTCGAGGGTTCAACTCCTCTTGACGCTTCTTTATTTACAATTTTGCATTCAACGATTTTCATCTGAAACAAAAACGAAAATAGAGGAAAAGAGTTGAAGAAAATTTGACGTAATTCGCTTGTAGCTTTTACTGCTTCGTTAGAGCAGTCAATTAAACTTTGTTTAATTGACTTTAGTCTTTAGTTGATCTTAGTCTTTAAAAAAATCCATATACAAAACATTGAAACATTCAGTAACCGCTTCTACTTATGAGTCTGAGGCTCCAAGTCAAGGAGAGGAGTACGGTAATCAAGGAAAAGGTATTATATGTAAGTAGGTCATTTATTTGTGTCAAGTTTTAGTCTACAACTCTGGAACCAATCGGAATCTCCAAAATGAGTATGAGAGTGGACAGGAAAGAGGACAGGAAAGAGGACAAGAAAGAGGACAAGAAAGAGGACAAGAAAGAGGACAAGAAAGAGGACAAGAAAGAGGACAAGAAAGAGGACAAGGATCCCCGCCATCCCCGCAACCCCCAGCTCAATACAACTCGTTTGGGGCACAGAAGACTGGTTCGTCAGCTACTTTTAAACAAAAAGAGTAGATTGGAATACTGTAATATACTGTAGATTTATCGTTAGGCTATTAAAATCAAAGTACGAAAATTGTAAATCAAACTAGAGCCATCCCCGCAACCCCCAGCTCAATACAACTCGTTTGGGGCACAGAAGACAGAGCCAGGTCCTATTCCTAGGAATTTCCTGGCTCTAGAGATTAGAAGCTAGCCATTAGTTGACCTCTGGCCTGGTTGTAGAGTTGTCTCTGCATGAAGTGATTCTCGCCCAGCACTAGCTGAAGTGTGATCAATTTGGCTAGTTTACCAATTGTTAACTGTTTAACTGCCTTGTTTAACTGCATTAGATCGACTTTGCTTTCGATTTGTCTTACAGAATCTTTTCAAATCAATCTCTTTCAGAGAAGATCAGCTATGACAACAGTGTCCCATCGGCTTTCCCCAACCCGGCCACCAATCCCTCGAAAGGTTACAACGCTAAAGCGATGGCAGCACCCACCAATCATTTCTTCTCGGGACAAGGTATTCGTATGTATGATTGGAGATTCCAAACAATCGAGATTCAATGCCAAAAACTACTGTAATTTTTCAATATTCAGTTAACTCTCGCGGTTACGGTCAACCAAATCGTGTGGCGACGAACTTCGCGAATGAGCCACCCGCTTTCTCGATTCTCCAACCAATGAGCAGTCCTCGGGTGTACGGGCAAGCTGTTTTTCAAGGTAAAATCAGGGACAATGATTGACAATGATTGACAATGAAGATCTACAATTCTTGAACTAAACAATAAGAATATTTAGCTCTTTCCTTTCGTGGTCTTTTTAGTCCGTCTCTCGTGGTCTTTTATAATTTTTTTTATTCAGTTCCACATGCATTAGTTTATATGATCAGAATTTAAAGAAACATCGTAAGAATAACAATTTTAGCAAAGGCCATGGAACTTTTAAATGACCATTAAACTTTTAAAAGTCCACAATTTCAGGGAAAGAGTCGAATATTTTGTTTCAGGACAGCACTATCGAGGGCAAATGATCAGCAATCAGCGAACGGCGAGTGATTATGGATATGGAGCTGTTGGATATCAACCACCACAGCCGAATCCCGGATATCAGGTAGGGAAATGTCTTATTTTCTTCTCTTTCTTCTTTCCTTTCTTCTTCCTTGTCTCTCCTGTTTCTTCTTTTGGAAAGAAGGCGCCGATAGCTCAGTGGCAAAGCATCTGCGCGGTAAGCAGGGGGTCAATAGTTCAATTCTCTCTCCGTTCCAAATTCTTTGCCAGTCATTTTTTTACTTTATTCTTATAGAAGTCTTACAGAAGTACAGTAAAGTAGATTTTGTGTACCCTAAAGGTAAATACAGAAGCTGTAAGTCCAGAGCCAAGTCCAGACCAGAGCCAAGTCCAGACCAGAGCCAAGTCCAGACCAGAGCCAAGTCCAGACCAGAGCCAAGTCCAGACCAGAGCCAAGTCCAGACCAAGGTCAACCTGCAGTCAAGTGAGGCCAGACCATTACCAGATCAAGCCAGGTTCACGCACTTTTTATGGGCCGAGCTAGGCCCACCTTCTGATGTGGAAACGAATACTCTCCCTAACAACGAACACTCTCCCTTGTCCCTAACAAATTCTTCGCTAAAATTCTTTCCTGTTAAATTTTACTTTACTGTTCCAGGGCTACACTTCACCACAACAAAATTGGAATCGAAACCCTGGTGAGACTCAATTTTGTGAGAAAGAGCAAAGTTTTTAGGTTATAACCAGCGCCAATTTGAAGCCAAACATCGTAACTGAAAGCCAACAAGTTCTAAAGTTTTATTCATTTATAAATTTTTATTTCTTTCCCGTTCTCCACATGATGTCAAACTGTTTGAAGTAGATATCTTCACTTTCGGCATTGCTAAACACCATTCGTTCACCTTTCGCATTCCGGACCACCAATTCGGGAGTGACCTGGAAAGGAGTACGGTACGGTACGGTACGGTAAGGTACGATAAAATTCCCCCTGCCTTACTACAGATCGTTATTATTGCATTGCAAAGTACTGTAGACAAAGAATAACCACTTTCAATCAATTAATCTTAGTTCCAGTTGGTAGAATGAATAAAATGAATAGTTCTAATCGATTTCTTGACACCGAAAACCCTCGGGTACAAATTTTCAGCTGGAATCTCTTTTTTTGGGCCATTTACAAAGCAAAAGAAGAATCCCTGTTTGAATGAGGAGGTGTTCTTTGTGCGCGCGCACAATCGCTGTCCATCTGGCAAAGGGCGCTGGGGTAAGATTTGGGAAGCCTCTCTACTTGCCGGTTCAGTTACCCAAGTTAGAGAGCGATCGGGAACTGAGTCATTTTTTCGATTTGGAGCGTCACTGTGCTCAATTTTTTAGCATCATTTCTGGCTTAGACTTGGCTATGTTCTTACTACGTAATCGCTCGCCTTCCGGCACACGTCGCCAATAGATAGGTGTTTCCTGATGGGACGGGTTACAGGAAAGGGAACGGTGGATGGGCTAGCCGGCTTCCCCCGTCGGTATGCCCGAATTTTTGGGATCAATTTTTGGCGTAAGTTTAGCTGCATTGAAATGGTCCTGTTATCATTATTAGGTTTCTCAGAACAGACTTTCGTCCGTAGCCGAATGATCCGCAAAAACTGGCGTCGAAGATTTGGCTCGGCAAAAATCGTGACAAACATTTGAACAAAGATCTGAAAAATTGATGACAGAATTTTATGAAAATAATTTTATGAACACAATTTCATTAGACTCTAGTTTTCTTTGTCGTTCTAGACATTCAGAAAGGAAATCTTTCCGTTCAAACTCCCACAAATGTTCACTTTTTGCACTAATTGCTTAAAAAAAGCGTGTGAAAAAAGGAAAATCATGTAAAGGGAGATGTACACGAGTCTAGAAACTCTTTCAAATGTTAAATTATGTAGTATACATGTATATGTTTATGAAATCATAAATGGATAATTTTGTAGATATTTTGTAGATATTTTGTAGAATTTCATAGATTTTATCTAATTTCATTGTAATGATTGAATGAAAAATGGAAATGAATGGAAATAGGATCAGGAGCCAAAAGCAACGATCACCTTACGCTCAAGGACCAGCCCAAGTCCTACAATTTGTAAGTCAGGTCAAGCCTAGCTTCTGACAGGCCAGGGATTTAGCACAACTACGGTAACTGTATCCCAGGGATTAGAGCTTGGCCTAGCCTAGACTAGGCCAAGCTCTAATCTCTAGGATACAGTTGACCTTACCTGACCTAGAAAAATCGCATTTGAACACTTGTTCACTGAGAAGTAGCATTTTGGAATCACTGGCTAATGGTTGGAATCACTGGCTAATGGTTGGCCAATCAGCAGCAAGCTTTACTCTTTCTACTTTCTACTTTCTAGATCTACTTTCTACTTTCTAGATCTACTTCTACTACTACAAGCAATTGTAAGTCTAGACTTAAAAAAACTCTTGCAAATGTTAAACTATGTAGTATCTATGTTTATGATATCATCAATGGATACAAGTACATGGGAACTCGTTCCTCCTTTCCTGTTTTACTTTTCTATACTTTTCTATACTTTTCTGTACTTTTCTGTACTTTTCTATACTTTTCTGTACTTTTCTGTACTTTTCTGTACTTTTCTGTACACTTGTTCATTATTTCCATGAGAATCTGTAGATAGATATTCTCAAGGATTTGTTTCAAGTTCAAGTTCAAATTCAAGTTCAAGTTCAAGTTCAAGTTCAAGTTCAAGTTCAAGTTCAAATTCTTTCAAGTTCTTTCAAGTTCAAAGATTTTTGATTGTTTCGATCAAGAATCTTTGAATGAATCTATAGAATACCTGGATTTGTAGTGAGTAGAAAAAGATGAAAGTGAAGAAAGTTTGTTTGTAAGGATCTCCATCAACACCGAATTCGTAGAGGAAACAAATCGCTATGCTCGTCACGCACTGAATCGTATTTTAAGCATAAAACTACTCGAAATCTAAAAATTTGAAAAATTTGATGAAAACTCGAAAAATTTGATGCTGTGTGAGCCAGGCATTTGAGCAAGGCAGTGTGCCAGAAAGCGTGCATTTACCTAGCTCAAGTTCAAAGCACGAGCCGGCTTTAGCTTTAGAATTATCGAGGCTTTAGAAAGCTTGTCTTGTATCCATATCCAGTTTTCTTTTCTAAGTCATGGATAATTTTTAGGTACAGTATACCTTATATGGAGCCAAGTAGAGCAATAATCGGGACGCTTTATAGTTCTCTTGGGTTCTGTATCTGGAAAATGAGATATAAGTGGATTTATGATCTAAAATAGTATTGTAGCCTTATTCTTAATCATTCTAATATTAGGTTGATGCATAAGTCTTTTCGTTTTTTTTCGTACTTCTGTTAAAAAGTAACAAATTCACGAATTAATCTATAGTTTGCTCTATAAAAAAAGTGTTTTTTTGTTCAATTTGCATCTTTTTAAATGAATTTCGGTTGACTTTCAAGCAAATTCGAGAGTGAAAAACGCCTTTTTCGTAAAAATCTATAAAAAACTCTACGGAAAAATTGGCTGAATGAATTTCTCTGAAATTTTGGCGAAATATCAAACGTTTTTTTTTCTCTATCTTTTATCTATTGACACGAAGATAGGTTTTCTTTAGCTAAGGTGTCTAAACCGCATCATCGAGTTAGCCCTTTTTGACTACCCGACTTCATACTCTCAAGAAAATCCAGGCATTCAATATTTTTAAACCCGTTTTAATGTTATTTTGCAGAAAAATAATTGCTTTTTCTAATGAAATCAACCGTAGTTTAATTCGTGCATTTGTTGGCTTGAAACGGCAGACGAAAAGGAACAAAAACACTTATGCATCAACCTAATAATAGGTAAAATACTACTGTAGCCTTATTCTATATCATTCTAACAGTTAAAATAAGACTGTAGCCCTATTCTTTATCATCCTAACAGTTAAAATAAGACTGTAGCCTTATTCTTTATCACTCTAACAGTTAAAATAAGACTGTAACCTTATTCTTTATCTCTCTAACAGTTAAAATACTACCGTAACCCTATTCTGTATCATTCTAACAGTTAAAATAAGACCGTAACCCTATTCTCTATCATCCTAATTATAATATTTTATTACTCTACCTATCCTCTATCGTTGAATATCTCTTCTTAAACACTTTTCGATACATCCTACGACATATTCCGTAAAGCACGATGAAGAACTAAAGTTTTACAGAAGTTTAAGCATTCATAGTTAGCTTTATTCAACTAATAGTTTATTTAAATCTTCAACTTACCATAATAGTACAAAAATACGTTGCATAGACTAAAAGGAAAACTTTCCAGCCACTAGCAAAGTCTGTGTAGATCGCAAGCACTTCAAAAGCGGCACCAAGTGTCTGAACAAAAGTTTTAGGGTTCACTTTGCGCTTAAATTCGTAAACACACCCTTTCTGGGGCACTCAATTTAAGCTTTTTTTTGTAAATAAGCTTCAGTAGGAAAAGAAATGAATCGAGTACGCGAGAAAGTTAGCGCAACGCTTCTTAGACCCTTTTTTCTCGGGAGTCGGGCGAAGCGCCGGTGGCCTATTGGTAAAGTGTCTGCCTGGAAAGCGGAGGGTCGCCGAAGCTCGAGGGTTCGACTCCTCTTGGCGACACTCTGTTCCTCTTTTTGTTTCATCTCTTCTTATTTCAAAAACGTTTAAATTTTTGAGCTCAAAGTACACAGATATAGAGTTTACTCTACTCCTTACCGTACAAACGATGAGACACAACGCGAATTTATTTGTGGTGAACTTTTGATCGTAGTCTTCCAAATAGTATAATGAGATCGAGCGCTCGATTGCGTATCCCAATGTCATTTGAAGAGAACAACCCGTTACTAGAATGAAATTACAGCAACAGAACCAGAAAACTATAGATTTGCACTTTGTCCTCTCACAAACGCACATCTTCTGGCACATTCTTGAATTGACAGAAGGCGCGTAAAAGCACAAAACACAAGACAAGAAGACCTACAACTCTCCGTCGTAAATGAGAAAATTTGAAAGTGGTTGGCGTCCAAAAGGGAATAATAATCCAATAAATGTTTAATTATTCGCCCGATTGTCGCCAAAGTGAGTGATGTTGGTTGAGAGAGCATTAAAGTCGAAAGATTTTGGTGGCAGACCTTAACAATAAAAATTGAACATCGCCTTCTTATCTCCTCTTTCTTGGTCGCAAAGAAAAGCCAAGTTGGTCTATTGGTAAAGTGCCAGCCCGGGGGGTCGTGGGGCAAGGGTCGGGTCGAGGGTTCGATTCCTCTTGCTCGCCTTTTTATCTGTCATTTCTTTGTCTTCACATTTCAAAAGCGAAAAACAAGATGTTGAAGAAAATTTGATATAATTCACTTGTAAGCTTTGACTTTAGCGTTTAATTTCTTTCGCCAGCTTTAGCCATTAATTTCTTTCATTGTCAGCCATTAATTCTTGACTTTAGTTCTTAAAAAGCCCAAAGAAGAAAAATTGTTTAGTTTTTCCTCTAAAGCAAACCATGTTCTTGTTCTTGAAAGCCCAAAAGACAACAATTGCACAAACCCGTTGTATCGTGAATAAGTGAAAGTACAAGCACAACGCGAGCACCAACAAGCAGCAAATGTAGGCTTCAATTAGCTGAAAAAGATTTTCGACGTGGTTAACCTTTTTTTAGGCTATATCTACAAATAAAAGCACTTTAAAGGCTTAAAAAGCATCTAAGAATGCTAAAAAATGTCTCAAATT